TCAAAATGTGCAAGCGCAAGTTGAATATATCCAATAAGACTTTTTCACGCACACTCAGAAACAAACAAATGTACGCATGCTGCCAGCTACTGCTGTTGCTGTTGTTGTCTCTGTTTGTTTTGCTCTCTTGGCTCTTGGGTGCCAAAGGGGCAAACAAACAGCGAGAGCGAGAGAGCGTCACTCATACATTTGCAGCCACAGCACAGCTGTATTGCTTATTTGTTCACTTTGCCCCTTCTTCGTGAATTGGGTTTTGTTTTCGTTTTTCTTCTTCTTCTATTATTGTTGTTGCTGCGTGCGGGGTTGCAAAGGCAAAAGAAAAATCGAAAGCGCCAACGCCGGTGGTGGCTTCGGTCATGGTCATTGCACAGTGGTTGCCACCCAACACAACAATTGTCGATCGGGCGAACAGATAAAAACCAAAAGCAACAACAACAAAGGCAAAAGCCAAGGCAAATCGGACTACAACAAATTGTCGGAGTGAAGAGATAAATGCATGTTACAGCTGTTAACACGTCGTGCACCAGTGTGGCTGGCTGATAATGACGATGACGATGCGGATGATGATGATGATGACGATAGTGATGATGACGACAAGCAGTTGAAAAGTCAAAGTCAAATGCAAGACATAAAACAAAACAGCGGACATAAACCATGTACACCCTGTGTGTACATGAAAACAATAACAGCAGAAAGCAAAACAAGTTTTCACTTTTCTTTTGTGATTTTTTTTTTTTTTAGTTTTGTCTAAGACTTACTTGGCCGTGCGTTAGTTAGGATCGGGGTAAGGGGTAAGGGGTAAGGGGTCTTGCCGTGTGGCATTCATTACCAAACGGCGATTCAATTGCATTTTGTTGTTGTTGCAGCGAATTGTGGCCATAATGAATTGCATAAGCCGGAATCGCAATCGCTCAACTACATTTGGTCAGCTGCAGAGGTGAGATTCAAACTGAGAGTAAGAGCGAGAGAGAGGGTGAGAAAAGCACAACATTTGCGCACTAACAAAACTGGCTAATCAAGACGCAATTGAAATAACGCACATAACACAAAACATGACCATATAAAGCAACGGCGCATTCACAAATTCCCAAAAATGGCTAATCGACAACAACAACAGCAATTCACATACTAAAGCAACTACAACAAAATGATATGTAATCAAGAGCGCACACATACAAAGACACACACACACGCACACAACATACCACGAATACGGTAATCGCATCGTGTACTTCATTCATGCATTAAGCTCGCTCTCATTCTCATTCTTGTCCATTGTTTCGAGTGACCTTGCCTTGCCGCTCTTTTCGCGAATTCTCATTCCAATTCCCATTCCCATTCCCATTCCAATACCCATTGCCAGTCAGCGGGGCACTCACCGTAATTGGGAGTGGGAACGGCGTCGAATTAGCTCATTTACTTATTATTGTAACACACGAGCGAAAAGATAAAACAAAACAAAAACAACAAAATTAGCGGGAACAAGCGCGACTTTTTAGCTTGAGCCCAACTGCGCCATTGAAAGTAGCAATGCTCGAACAAAACAACTGTAAGCCGAATGAACACAATGCAATTATGCACAACAACAAAAAACAAGTGGATTATGCGACAAAAGCTTCCGAAATAAATGTGACGGAAGCAACCAAGGAGAGAGTGCACAAATACAAGCACATGATTTCTATGCAATCCCCAATCAAATTGATGATCAGAGTGTCCGAGAGCCATCAATCAACCCGCAGATCAAAAGAGTATCTCTACACAATCTTTCGGGTTGGGGTTGTACGCACACTTTATCAATCATAGCTTATTGTACACAACATACTCAATAAATTCCATTTAGATAAAACCCCAATTAGAAATTCATTCATTGACGAAAAAGTCCATAGTCATGCGTGTGTGTGTAGAGTGCGTTTCTGTATGTCTGCGAGTGCTTTCATAAGGGCTCTCTCTTAGGCACACACACACACATGCAGAACGAACTGAGCGCAGTGAGTTAGCATGCTAATCACATACACGAGTAAGAGCAACAAAACATAAACAGCAGCAAAAGGCACACAAACAAAAATAACAGAAATTAACAACTCGCCTGGCAACTGGAACTGAGGAGCTCTGCCCGCTTCTCGCTGGCGACTTGCTGCCCGTTGCTTGGCGCCTGTTCAAATAAGTTTCAAATTTTGACAAATAAAACCATGGTTTTGTAATTTACGAGCAGCGGCGACGTCAACGGCGACAACAACGCTGACGACGACCTCAGTTGAGTGGAGTGGAGTGGAGTTTCCCACGCCCATTATTCACACTCAGAACTCAACGGCACTCCAACTCGCTCTCTCGCTCTTCATGCTTGACTCCTCTCCGTGGCAAGAGCGCAATAAAAAGGGATTATGTGCAAGTATGTATGTTGGCATATAGGCGTGTATGCATGTGTGTGTGTGTGTCTGCGCCTTGAGCAGGAGTTTGAGTGAACCGAAAGAAGCTGCAACATCATCTCCCCGTCTAGACGTTTGATTACCGGCACACAAACACATGCACTTAGACACAGGACGCGGCGCATTATGAAGAAGAGCGAAATGAGGAGAAAGCACAAGCAGCCAGAGGCCAAGGCACAGTGAACCCGAATGACGTTAGATTGTCCCCAAACGATAATTGCATGGCCATTCGTGTTTTATTTTTATTGGTTAGGCGGATTTTTTTCGTTTTGAGTGCTCGACGCTTTATCAGTTACATATTAATGCGGCATGAGTTATTTCGTGGGTCTTTGGTTTTGCTGTAATAGCAAGATAAGGTTAATATCGGAATTGCTTGGATTTATTATTATGAATTATGCTGAAGACCTTCAGAAGTAAACATAATCTTTATTTATTTTATTTTCAAATTCTAATCACGCCTTTGGCTTCAGGGTGCGTCTCAAAATCAAAATCCAATATCCGAATTCCACTCAAATGCAGGCAACTGAATATTTTCTCAGTTCCCTTTCAATGTCGCCTGCAACGCTCATCAATATTTTCACTCAATTCCAAACGCAATTAAGCTAAACAGATTTTGTAAATTCCCAACGCTATCTCTCTCCCTGTCGCACGTCATAAATAAGCAGCTTCCGTTACAAAGCCGATTCGCTGCAATGGCTTAGGGAACAAAGGCCTTGACAATAAATCTATTATCTGATAATATTGTTTCTACCTGATGTAACGCTGAAGCGTCAGACTACGATTTCGTTACAGTGCATTAATCAACAACAGATTTCAATATTTTCTTTAAAACATTTCTTAACAAATTTCCTAATACTTCAGCACAAAGGCAACCACTGTGCCTGCCTGAGTAACGGTTAGGGTAACGGGTGTAGGGCCAATGACAAGGCTTGTCAAGGACTGTGCACACTCGATGCCATGCCAAAGGTCAAACAATCGGCACAGCGGAGCCTTGACTTTTGCACTTACGTCAAATGCTTGCGTCGTCCAAATCAAACATTGCACCGAAAAAAAACGAGACGTGCTAAAAAAAAAACTCAAATAATAAACTCACCACACAGCCAAATGCTTCAAGTGTCGTCGCCTTCTGGGCGTCCTTTTTGTGCAGTGGTGAAATCAAGATGAAACTGGAATTTTTCGCAGACTGCGTCTTTGCGCGCTTCTGTTTTGATTTTGTTGCTGCTGTGCTGCTGCTGTTGTTGTTATTGCTATATTGACTGCTCTCTCAGCTGCTTGCGTTAGTATAGGTATTTTTTATATGCTGACCGTGTGTGTGTTTTATAAATCCTTTTATTTCGCTGCTACTTTTTGGCGCGCAATTTTCGTTTTATCTCGCTGCTGCGTGGCTTTATCTGTTTTTGCTGTTGTTGTTTCACAGTTGTTATTTGCATATCACGTTTTGCTGCTTGCCTAATACGAAACAACAGCTACAAACACAATAACAACAAACAAATATAAACACGCACGCACACACACACACAAACGTTTGCCGAAAGGAAGCTGCGTCCGATTTTTTTGTTTTTCTTTAACTTTCCTTTTGGTATCGTATTTCTTTTGCACTCGCAATTAACCAAGTACAAATATATAATCACATATATTTTTTTACTGTTTCTTTCTTTTAAAGCTCTTTAAATGTGAAGCAAATGTTTGGGCTCCGACTCCGAGCGACGGCGACGCGTTGGCGACAATAAAGCGACACGAAAAGTGACGTCCGTCTCGTTTGCACGTTTTTAACGAACTGAGAGCCAAAGGCAAAACAAAAACTCTCAGAGTCCAAAAGCAAAACAAGTAACTGTGTGTGCTAGAGAGTGGAAGTCGACTTTATAATACACTGCAAACAGCGATAGCCATATAAATAAATTATACAACAACTAGCATATTATTTATTAAGATATTTGATATACTTAAATTAATCAATTTTCTTGCACTAAAATCAATTTGTAGAAACTAGGGACGGTGATCAGCTATGCAGACCATATAATAATGTATAAATCAGGCTAAAAATATAATTAACATATGAAATTGGTAATATAATATGCTTTTAAAATATATACATAAAAAATGCTGCGATACATCCGTTGAATTTTAGTTAGAATTATTTTTTTATAATACAAATAGATTTAAAAAAATGGAATAAATTAAATATGAAAAAAATTCGATACCTTTATCACAATATAACAAAAAAGCTGAGTTTAAATAATATTACATTCGGCAAAAGAAAACTAATTAGAGGGAATACCACATATGCATGTGACCAGCATATCAAACTGTAAGCAGTGTGGCAGTGCGAATTCCACAAAAAAAATACCAACTATTAAAATACCAAAATTGAAAATGCAACTCTGTACAGAACAAAACCAAAACAATTCTATTTACTCACACAGAACACAAACGTTAATTATTATTGTTTATGCGTCGGGCCGTTCAAGAGCTAGTAGACGGGAGCGTAGTGGAGTGAAAGATAAGAAAGCGCGACTCAGCAAAATTAGATACGAGGAGTGAAATTTGCAACACATTCAGTATATGTACATATGCAGATATAAATATATATTCTATATGTATGTAAATACTTGTAGCACATGTGTGTGGGTGCATTGTTGTTGCTGATGAAGTCGAATAGATTATAAAACAAGAAGCGGAAACAGCTGTGGAATGCAACGAAAAGAAGATCAACGACGGTTGCTCAATGAGCAGGAGCGGGAGGAAACGGAGCAGCAGCCTGATGAGCCAATGCTGGGCGGTGAGCAGCAGGGCGTTGGTTTCGTGCCCGCCTTTTTGCCACAACATAACATCGACGATGACGAACGCTGTCTGCTGGAGCGCGATCAGGATGAGATCGTCCAGCTGACCAATGCGCCGACCAGTGGGGCTGCCCTAACCTATTACGTCTTCTACCTGCTTGGCATTGGCACAATGACGCCGTGGAACTTTTTCGTGACAGCCGAAGATGTAAGTAGAGTGAGAGTAGACTAACTGCAATGTCCCTCCATCTCCATCTCTCTCTCTCCTCGGCCCACTGAGCCCGCATTTGCATTGTGTAAAACACTTGCGTCGCTGTCTAAGACTTTTCTTATCTCCGTTTTGGCATTGTGTTATTTTTTATGGTTGTTGTTCTCGTTCTCGTACCCGCTGTTATTGTTATTGTTGCTATCATCTTTAGTTTTTCTTTGTTTGCGCTATTTTGGTTGAGTCAAGCGCTGCTTACCCCACCCACCCCTTCGTCGTTGCTCATCGAGCAATTGATTAACCGTTAATGCCTCTTTGGACTCCCTCGCCTTGTGACTAATTGTTTGGGTGTATGGGGTATGCTTGACTTACTGGAACTTTGGAATTGTGTTACTCATAGGAAATTGTTGAATGCAAAAATCTGATATACTATATGTTCTACGATATACTAATTGTTTATTTTGAATATATAGTATATGTATATGCATATGTAAGTATATAATGAAAAGTGGAATATATCTTTGCCATTTATAATTAACTCGACTTCATAATCTTGCATTCATTTTTAATATATGTACATTTTTATAAAATATCTTTAAGGCTGTCTCACAATATACACTTACCAAATGATATAGGCATTGCTTCAAGATAACGTCATTAAATAACAGGGTATCACTTAGTCTGTCACACTAAAGATAACCACATTCGACTTCAAGTCTTCCGTGATTGGGTTTCTCTCATACTCCATTATTAAACCTCAACTTGTACAGAGTATCATCCAGTCAGTCCATCCCCACTCACTCGCTCACATTCAACTTCAATTCGCTCGCCTTCCTTTTGCAGTATTGGAAATACAAGTTCCGCAACACAACGCTGAACGAGACCCAGCCCGACGAGGAGCTGACGCCGCTGCAGAAGAGCTTCGCCTGCGACTTGGCCTTGACGGCGACCATATCGGGCACCACATTCCTGCTGCTGAACGCCGTTTACGGCCACCATGTGTCGCTGCGCACTAAGATGCTGGGCACGATGCTCACGATTCTCGTGCTCTTTGGCATCACGACGGGCTTCGTGGAGGTGAACACGGACCGGTGGCAGGAGCAGTTCTTTCTGATCACCCTCATCATTGTGGTCATACTCAACAGTGAGTGAATGAATTTCTATATATGCATGTATATGTGTGTATGTATGTATATGTGTATTCTATATATCAGCTCACTCATCCGTATTCGTGCATATTTCCAGTCTCTGCTGCTACCATGTCGGGCGCTCTGTATGGCGTCGCTGGCCTGTTTCCCTCGGAGGATATGACGGCTGTGGTCAGCGGCCAGGCGCTGGGCGGTATTATAACGGCATCGGCCCTCCTGCTGGTGCTCGCCTTCGACAGCGGACCCTCGACCACGGCCTTTGTGTTCTTCATCATGGGCGCTGTGCTCATCCTCGGCTGCATCGTTTGCTACGTGCTGATGGCTCGCCAGGCGTACTTCAAGTATTATCTGGCGGGTGGCGATAAGTTCAAGGTGATCAGCGCTCTGCCGCCCTCGCACAGCCGGGAGGGAGAGGACACGGGCGTGGCACTCGAGCCGATTTTCAAGCAGGTGCTGGGCAAGATCTACGTGCAGGCCGCGTGCCTCGTTCTGCTGTACGCCACGACATTGTCCGTGTATCCGTCGGTGACTGTACTTATGCAATCCGAGCATTCCGCCAATCACAGCGAGTGGACTGGTATGTGGAGCTGGCTAACTGAATCCCCAAGAGATTTGCCTCACATTTCCATTATTTCTCTGCCCTCCCAGATGTCTATTACCTGCCCGTGGTGAACTATCTGTTCTTCAATTGCGGCGACTACTTCGGCCGCCTGCTGGCCGGCTGGCTGCAGTGCCCCAAGAATCGGCACACTACGCTGCTCTGGACCGTGGTGCGTGTGGCTCTCGTGCCCTGCTTCCTCTGCTCCAACAGCAGCGAGCATCAGTTTCTGCCCACGCTGGTGAAGCACGACTACACCTTCATGGCCATGGTTGTGATATTTGGGCTATCCAATGGATACTTGACCAATATACTGCTCATCATGGCGCCCAGGTGAGTGCCTAGTCCTAGTCCGAATACCCTGTAAAAGGCAAGCACTTATATATTTGAATTTCGCCTTTACAGATCCGTCAAGCAGCATGAGAAGGAGCTGGCGGCATCTATAATGGCCGCCTGTTTGAGCGTGGGCATGGTCATTGGCTCGCTAGTGAGCTTGGCCTTTGTGCAAATGCTGTGATCGTTAGATTGCCACGCCCTTACGCCCCCCCCACTCGCCCAAGCTGCTAGGTGCCTTAATCATAGTCTAATCAAATTAATAGTAAATCATTTATTGTCTCTATAGACCCATATATATATCTTTTATACGTCCCACCTTGTGTCAAAAATTAGCCATGGTCTGTAAGACGAACGTATCAAGGCGAAATTATTTTATTAACAAGTTTATATTACCTGTAAGATTTTACCCCATGAATGTCGATGTTTTTTACAAAATAAATTTAAAATTTTTGTGTGTGTTTTTAAGGTAATTCTGTTTGTTTAACGTTTATTTTGGTTTCTGCAGATCACAACAACAATGTGGATTAATTCGATTTAAATTTAGGTTTTAGTTTTTAAGTTTTAGTTATCAATTCACGTATTTCAATTACTTTGACATTTAACTAATGAACTCCACTGTAAATTATGTGTGTTATGTATGTATTGTGTATATATGGGCATTGACTGCTTACACATTTATTTATTGGAAATTACATTGTTTTCTAGTTTCATTAGTTTTAAGTTGTTAAATTTGCCCTGTTTTGTGTTTCCTTTCTTATTTCTCTTGATTCAAACCTTAACTGCCAACTGCCTATTGTTAAAGTAGTTGGCAACGCTCGAGTCTAACTGGACTTTTGCTCAATTCCTGATGCTTTCAAGTTTGATATTGAGAGAGACTAACTGTAGCTGAGACTTAACTCAATGTAGTTTCGCTTTGATATTTATATTTTACCCAATTTTACTCTAAATAAAGTTTGAAAATATGCAAAAGAATCGAATCTTTATATCAACAACTTTTACTCACTCAATAGCTTTCCAGCTGTGCGATGTCGGCTTGAGATATTCCAATGAGCGAGCTTTGCGGCATAGAACTTTCAGCTTGACCAATGCACATCGAGCTGCTCTTCACGCACGGCAATTCACTCATTGAGTGAGCGAGACGGCTATATTTATGCAGCTTTCATTTTGAGTCAGATCAATGCGCACAGATCAGAAGCTTTGCTCACTCAATTATTTATTGATATTTTACTTGAGTGAGAATCGCATTTACTGGAATTCCGTTTTGCGCTTTGAGTGATTCTTCAGCAGCCATTTTCAGTTCTGGTTGCACCAATTAAAAATTGAGTTTTTAGCCATTTTTAGCCATTTTTTTAGCTTTAATTTTCAAGCCATTTGGCTTCCTAATCAGGACTTGTTCAACTCCAATCTCAGGGCGTTTCAATGTATTTAAGGGTTTGTTGTTTAACTTGAATTGTATTTTCAGTGCATAACTGTAAATCGTTAATATGCATTTAAACGTTATTTAAATTCTGCTTGACATTTAGAGATCGTTTGTAAAACTGTAAATGTATTTGCTATACTTTAACAATGGGGAGCACTTGGTCTAAACATTTAATTAGCTAAGTTATTTATTTATTTACTTTTCCATTTTAATACTTATGCAACAACAAATTCGTCTGTTGTTCTCAAAATTCTCTCTATTCATAACATACAATTTTCATTTTTGAATTATTGTGGCCTAATTTTATTTAAGTTTTTCTTTCTTCTTTTGGTGTTTTACACCGTTTTTGCTTTTTCTTTTACTTTCAACTTTCTTATTCCTTCTTGCATTTCGTATAATTTAACTTTTATTTATTTTATGAAACGCACAACAACAAATTAAACCAAACGCAAAGTCGGGCGCATGCAATTTAATTTTTTGTTTTTTTCTTATTTTCTCTTATTTTGATTTATGAATGAAAACTGAAAAATATAAAAGATTTGAATTGAGGAAATAACTACAAACATTGAATTGGTAACTTTGAACAAGAACAACACCAAAGGCAACAACAACAACAACGACAACAACAACAACAGCAACGACAACACACAGATACAGTTTTATTTATGCTTATGGGGACTTATGTACATACAACACCAAAAAACTATTTAGTTGATTTTTGTTTTGTTTTGTTTTGTTTTGCTTGTATATATTGTTTGCTCTACTATTTGGAATTGTGGGCCAATTGGTAATGCACTCACACACATACACATACATATAAACATACACATATATATAGAAATTCGTGTTGCCAATTCGATTAAAGTTCATAGACATTTAGACGTGACTATTATGCAATAAAGCAACACAAAAAACATAATGAAACACACATACTTATATATTGTATTCACCTATTTTTGTTTTTGTTTTGTTCAATTAGGATAGGGGGTGGAGGCGGGGTCTTGACGCTAGGAATTTTTCGGGTATTTCTTTGCGCTACACACGTACAACAATTAGTGGGCGGTATTTGGGAAATAGGCGGGGCATTTTTCAAATTTCTCTACTCACGTAGCGTTTGGAAGGTATTTTCTCTTCATTTTATTTAATTTTTTTTTTATATTTTTTTAGCATAGGAAATTACAACATCTAAGGTGGTTCTGCCGTCCAGTGAAATGTTCTTTCAACTTTCGTTTTATACTTGTTCAATATTTTCATAAAATTTGTATTTTGTTTTTCGTTTGTTTTTTTGATTTTTTTTTTCTCTCATTACATGTATGCATATACATATATTATAGTTGGTATAGATTTTCGTTTCAGTTGTGGCTCTGTAAATTTTGGATTTCGTTACAAGGCAGCTTGGGTTTACCTACAAATCAAATTGAGTCCGGTTCACAAGTTTTCGCTAATAAAGTTTTCCATTTTCATTTTCTTTTTGATTGTCGCTAAGGGCGCGCACAGCTTGGGGGCAATGCGGCGCCAGTTTTTTTTTTTCTTTTTTGGTATTTGGTGTTGTATAGGCTGTGTCTGTGTAGCTGTGTGTGACTGTGTGTGTGCGTGTGTGTGTGTGTGTGTGTGCTAGAGCTTTGAAAGTGTGCAAAGAAAACCTAAAAAGAAGAAAAATAATAGTTCAACAAAGAATTTTTGTTTTATTATTTACTTAAGAAAATGCGTAAAAAATACTAAAACAAAAAGAACGTAAGTTTAGTGACTAAGAAAAAGTATCAAATAAATATTGAACAAAATTGACTAAAATGTTGGCCGAGAGTTGCCTCGGCGCTAAGTTCTACATTGCGCGAGATTCGTTTCACAAATTTGTGCGAGAGAATTAAAATCAATATATATTTATAAATATATATACGAGTATAGGTATATACTATATTCATATAAATTATTGTAAAAGTAAATTTGATATATAAAAAGTAATACACACAACCACATTAAATAGTAGAAATGGAGCACATGACGAGAGCGCGAGGGGGAGAGAGAGAGATTGAGGCAGTCGCTCTTCCCCTCGCCCCTCTCTCGATTCCTTTCTCTTCCTCTTTCTTTGCCTCAAAAGTGAGTTTCCCTCTCTTTTCTGTTTTGTTCATTTTTAAGTTAAATAAATTATATATAGTTTATATGCTTAGAGTTTTAGACACTCAGAGTTTCAGCGTAGTTCGAATAGGAAGAAACCGTACGACTTCGGTCCAGAGATAGAATTATAGAGAATTATTGTTTGTATCTATACATAGATGTATAGTTATAGATATATAAATATATATATAGGTAAACATATAAGTCATTCACATACATAATAAATACACCGACTATTACAGTTATACTACATAGACACATATGCGGTATATATATATATATAGATATATATGCCAGGAAAGTTCTACAGCTAGTTTGTTCAGTTAGAAAACGTTTCGAGTTTCCCTTTTTAGTTACAGTTTACAGTTAACAGTTACAGTTTACAGTATACAGTTTACAGTTAATTTTTAGATCTATTCAACTAAACGCTACGAAGACTTCATTTTGTTTTCCTTTTTTCATTTTTTTTTTTCTTTTTCACACAACTTCCGCGAATACTGAAAACTGAAGAACAAATTGTGCTACTTTTCGATCGTATTTTATTTGTATTTGTGTTTTGTTCTTATTATTCTGTTTTTTTCTTTATTGTTGTCGTGCATTTTACGTCTTCATCTCCGCCGTAATGCTGTTGTGCGACTTGGCTGGCGATATGGCCAGTCCAGCGGCTCCACTGCCCATCGCTCCCCTGCCGTCCAAATTCAATGTGAGATTATTGCCAGAGCTGGGCGCCGACAGGCTGCTAACAGCGGCGCCTGCTCCCGCTCCGCCGGACGCGCAGCCATGATGATGCGGTCCATGGAAGAGCACCAGGAAGCCGCTGTTCGAGACGCAGCAACGAGATTCTGCCTCCTTGTCGAGTATTTGACGTGCCTGCCGAACAGAGGTGATATTTCAGTATGAACAGAGAAATTTCATTTGTAATGGAGAAATTATAGGAAAATATTTAAAAGTCCACGGGGATTATCCCTATATAAGAGAACTAGCTGCAGCCTTTCTGCTGCTTAAGTTATATAGAGAGGGACATCCACTCTCGCCTACCTTCAGGCGATGCTCGGCTAGAGCATTGCGCACCGCCTCGTGCTGCTTCTGCAGATCATCCGTGCGCTTGTCGAATGTTTGCTTGAGCCGCATGCGCTCCGCCACGCCGCGCTCCACCACAGAGCTGGCCACCTCTCGCTTCATTCTGTAAAGGGAGAAAGAGAAACAAGTCATAGGTGAGAGAACAAATGCTGTCGCGACTCCAGTTGCCTACCTGACCAGCTCATCGCGATCTCTGTGCACGGTGGCCAGATTCTTGACCTCATTGCGTCGCGCCTCCTGCAGCTGGTGCATCACCTCGCCGGTGACCTTGTCGAGGGACGCCTTCAGCTGTTTGGTTTGGCTGGCCTGCGAGTTCTTTAGCACCTTCTCGGCGGCCGAGTAGATGGCCTCGTGATACTTCTCCTGCAGCTCGCGATACTGTGTGGTGTACTCGCGGCAGGCGTAGCGCAGACGCGACTCCTGGGAGCCCTCCAGGCTGCAGGAGGCGGCCTCGTCGCCCAGCTCCCCGGCGCCGGCGCTCTCCTCGCTGCTGTCGCCCAGATCGAGCGGGCACGGCGGCACCTCGACGCCCGGCTCACTGTACGGAGAGAGACAATTACTAATTTCAATGGCGTCATCTGGCAGTGGCCACAACCCGGCAGCGGCAGTCACCCGCCGGACACTTACAGGCTCTTGTTGCTGAGACGCTTAACCAGCTTGTTGGTGATGGTGAATTTGGGCTTCTTGCCCCCGTCGAGGGGGCTGAGCTTCTGGCCGGCGATCTTCAGCTTCTCCTTGTCGTGCTTCTTGCGCAGCGACTCCAGCTTCTTCTCCATCTCCAGCCGCTTCTCGCGCACCGACTTGTGCTCGAGTATCTTCTCCAGCGGCTCGGCTATCACCAGGTCCACATCGAACTGCGAGGACTCCACCTGCCTGATGGACGTGCTCACCGACTGGTCCAGCGAGTGCTGATGCTGTATGCCCGATGTCACGATCGAGACGTTGTCCTCGTTGCGTCCCCCATCGGGCCGATCCGTCGGCTGCTCCAGACTGCTGGAGGTTATTATGGAAATGCTCGCCCGATGCTTGGGCGAGGTGGCTAGCGACTCAACCGGACGCAGCTCCTTCTTTTGGCCACCTACTTGGACGAAAACGACTGAAGGATCAGCGACAATCGAGCAGAGAATGGAAAGCGAGCGAGAGCGAGAGAGAGAGATAGACCGAGAGAGAGATCGAGCGAGTAAAAGAGGAATTGGGTTGGGGTTGGGCGGTAGCGGGGAAATTTATATTGGGTGCAGTATTTGTGTCCGTCAACCGTTTTGTGTGGTGGTGGTGGTGGTGTTGTTGTTGGTGGTTGTGTGTGTTTTTGTTTTGTTTTTGTTGGGTGCGTGTGTGCGTATAACCAAATCCAAAATCCAAAAGTTTAACCGAAAGTTACATGACATACAAAAGAAAAGTAGAAAGAAAAGAAATTAAATTAAAATTCAACTCGAATGCTACGGAAATCCTGTGGAGCCCTGGGTCCTTTAGCCACCTCCAAACACTAGCCCACAACCAACTTACATGACTTGGACAGATCCTCATCGGCATTGGCCACCGCGTCCGTCTCATCCGTCAGCACCGAGAGCTGTATGTCGCGCTTCTCCAGCTCGCTCTGGTACTTGATGGGATTGGCCAGGGCCTCGGCGAAATTGGATAGATCGTCGGGCACATAGTCCTTGACGACGACGCACAGGAATAGCGAGGCGAGCCCGATGGGCTGGCCCACCTCAGAGCGCAGATTCACGTGCCGATAGCCCGGACAGAGGCCGATCACGGGCAGCACCCGGTGGCCAATTAGCTTGCCGCCCTCCTCGTAGGCGGCGAGCCGTATGCTGGCCAGCTCCGGCAGGACCACCTTCTTGAAGACGAACGGCTCCTCGTCGTAGAAGGGATTCATGCCGTTGTCGCGCACCGTCTTGGTGCGGAACTTCTTGCGCACGGTGTCCGCCGGCAGGCCGTACATGTCCACCTCGACGAAGGTGTTCACGCGCTTGTCCGTCAGAAACTGGCCGGACAGCACGGTGATGGACACGGTGCCAGCAATGATGCCATCGACGGTGCTCTCGGCAAACGGGTCGAGCCGGCGATCGGAGCGCCGCATAAACTCCGGCTTTAGCAAATAACCGCAGCGTGCGTTGTACTCGAAGATGCCCAGATTCAGCTGCATGGCCAGGTCCAGGGTCTGGAAGTTCAGCGCCACCAGCTGGCAGCCAGCGTTCCAGAACAGCTGCGGCATGAAGTTGGAGCTGTCGAAGCGCGTGCCCGCCGGATACACCCGGGACAACTGGTGCTTGTTGTAGTTGACAAACTCAATGGGTCGCTCCTTCAGCAAAGTTGTCGCCTGCTTCTCATCGAACGAGGACATCTCGTAGCAGCGGTTCTTCTCTGCGAAAGCGAGACAAGGGATGTTAGAGAGAACCCAAGGCATGGGACCTGATGTCACCTACTCTCGGCATTCTCAAAGGAGCTGAAGTGTATGGGCTGCACGTAGTTCACCAGCGCTGAGATCTCGGCACCTGCTTCCGTCTCCTTCTGGGCCTTGTCCGGCGGCGGCTCATTGCCGCTGGGCAGACTGGGCGTTGTGTTGGGCAGGGATTCATCATCGCTAGAGCTGTCCGAGTCCGAGGAGCCGGTGCTATCCTTTGAGCTCTGGCGGATTTGCTAAGGAATAAAAGGGATTTTTTTTTTTTTTTTACAATAAATTTTGAGAATAGATATAATAAATAGATTAAATAAAAACAAAAATTTATTTTAAGTGTGAATTATTTTTTTTTTACTATTTTTAATGGATTTACTTAGAATCAAATGTTCATGGTATTAGCAGTGCAACAGATCCTATTGAGAATTACTTAATTTTTTGTTTTTTTTTTTTCGATTCAAGAGAGAAGTTGGATGTAAGTTAAAATTTAAAAAATTTATACATTTAATGTAATAAATTTTATATAATTTTTAAAGCACATATTTTTCCCAAGAATTTCTTTAATTTTTAAAAAATTCATTCATATTCATATTCATATTCAATTAAAAATAAACTCAATAACAAACGAGATCTGTTGGTAGTGAAAAGCAGAAGAAGTGATGAATGTGTGCTTAAAGTTATTTCATGTATCCTAATACATATTTTTTAACGACAATAAATTATTGGCTGACATCATGTGAAAAATTGCAATATTTATTATTATTGCATAGTCGAGAGCTGAGTTCAGCTAGGCGACCCAGCTGGGCAATACGAAAAGCTTTTAAAATGTTGCGTTGTTATCGCTGCAACAGATCCGACAGACGGCAGGCAGTCAGGCAGACAGATGGACCGATGGACCGATGGATGGAGTTAATGGGTTCGGTGTCTATAATGGGGGAGCGCAGCGCATAATGGCAAGAAAATGGCGTAGATTGTGTTTCCTGTCGTCGTTCTTGTCGTCAGAGGAGGAGGAGGAGGAGGAGGAGGAGGAGGGGGAGGAGCAATAACAGACGCTGCAGGACTTCATATAATGCGCGTCCATGTCGATACTGTATGTTGCATTGAATAAAGCTCAGAACGACAACTGCGGCACAACGGTATCTATGATAGCTGCCACACCCCCAGCCCTAACTGTACCCTTGGCTATTCAGCTAGCTGCATTTTCCATTTCACATTTTACATTTTCCGTCTCGATTCGCATTGCATTCACGACGAATTGAATCCATTTGGCTTTCACTGCACCACTACAAACCATATTCGAGAGCGAGCGATATCTCCGCCTCCGCCCCATGGCCCACCGACTCCCTGCTGACCGCAGCATCTCATGTGGCCGCACAGTGCTGCCAAAACTGTGCGCCGCAGCGGAAGAGCTGCTGCTGCTGCTGCTGCTGCCATTAGCTTAAGTTTGCAAAATTGTGAGGAGCCAAACATGTTGACTGTTGGCTGCCCAATCTGTCCGTCGCTCTGTCGCGCTGTCGGCATGTCGGTTGCTCTGGCAGAATCATGAATAATGATGTGTGTGTGCTCCAATATTGCAAACTGTGCAATTAAATTAATATGCATAATGCTCATGAGGCTTACAGAGCCATTAAGCTGAGCACTCTGCCAGGATATGAGGACCATTACGCAACCGCTGGCATATTGTCTTGGGTTTAATAAGAGGAAAGAGGCAAAAAATCAAAAAGGAAATGCTGCACATATAGTTTTCGGAAATTGAGAAGCTAGCACGGGCTGAGATTAAACCGAGCTTCGAGAGCGAATTTAAGGTAAGTTGTAGCTCTATGAGTTGCGGTTAACTAAGAGTCATGGGCTAATTAACTTCAATAAACTGAAAACTAATTTCAGATAGCTTTTATATCGAGCTATTTTCAGGCCCTAAAATATGTCAGTTTGACTCTGTACAACAGTTTAATATAACTTGAACACATGATATGTGGTTAATTAGCCTCGCTTTGTGGTGCAAATCAAATGTCAAATTATACTGAATATGAACACAGCTAAAGGTCATCAATAAATGCAAGAGCTGCTGAATACAGTTCTTGGAAACAGTATTGCTCTTCTCTGGTCTCCGAAATGTAATTTTAGTAGAAATGTATGCAATCAGTTGCGCCTACATTTCTCAGAAATATGGGGGGTTAGCTTAGCTTAACAAAAAAAAAAAAAAAAAAAAAAAATTAAAAATGAAAAAAAAAAAAAAAAAAAAAAAAAAAAAAAAAAAAAAAAAAAAAAACATTTATCTTTTGGCATAAATCGCGGCAGACACATATTT